GAATATATATTCGGTGGTATTTGGATAGAATGTTCTGTAAATGTCTGTTAGGCCCATATGTTCTAGAGTTCTATTTAAGACCCTTATTTTTTGTTTATTTTCTGTTTGGAGGCTTTGTCCAGTTCTGTCAGCAGGGTGTTGAAGTCTCTGGCTATCATGGTACTGCTATCTATCATTTTGTTTAGATCTAGTAGGATTTGCTTTATGAATCTGGGCACTCCTGTGTTAGGTGAGTAAATATTTAAGATTGTTATGTCTTCTTGCTGGATTTTTCCCTTTACCATTATATAATGACCATCTTTGTCTTTCATTACTTTTGTTGATTTGAAGACTAAGTTATCTGATATGAGTATTGCCATGCCAGCTTTCTTTTGGTTTCCATTAGCATGGAATATTGTTTTCCATCCCTTCACCTTGATTCTTGATGCATCCTTTTGGGTTAGATGTGTTTCTTAAAGACAGAAGATGTTTGGCTTTTATTCATTTGGCCAGCCTATGTCTCTTCAGTGGGCAGTTCAAACCATTCATATTTATTGAAAGAATTGATAAGTGGGGTGAATTTCTGTTGATCCTGATGGGTTGAACTTTGTTGCTTTGTTTTATCTCTTGAGTCATTGTGGTATCTGGCCTTCAACCTTTTTGCTTTTGGGTAGTTTTACATTGGTAAGTGTTTACTGTGCTGATCCGTGAATAATGAAGTTCTGAGTACTTCCTACAGGGCAAGTCTTGTCTTGACGAATTCCTTCACTCTTTGCTTGGCTGAAAAAGTCTTTATTTCCCTCTCATATACAAAAATTAGTTTTGCAGAATACAAAATTATAGGCTGGGCATTATTCTGTTTGAGAAGACTGAAAATGGGGCCCCAATCCCTTCTGGCTTGTAGGGTCTCAGTTGAGAAGTTAGTCTGATGGGTTTTCCTTTGTAAGTTATCTGCTGTTTTTGCCTTACAGCTCTTAGGAGCACCTCTTTTATGTTTATTTTGGCCAGTCTGATGACTATGTCATGGTGTCTTCTCTTTGTGATGAATATCTCAGGAGTCCTTTGAGCTTCTTGTACTTGGATATCTAGATTTCTAGCAAGGCCAGGAAAATTTTCCTCAAGTATCCCCTCAAATAAATTATCCAACCTTGTGTATTTTCTTCTTCACCATCAGGGATGCTTATGATTCTTACGTTAGGCCTCTTTACATAATATGATATTTCTTGTAGGCTTTGCTCATTCCTCTTATTTCTCTGCTCTATCACTGTGGCTGACTTGTTTAATTGAAAGGTGTTGTCTTCAAGCTCTGAGATTCTTTTCTGCCTGATCTAACCTGTTCTTAAGGCTTTCTACTGTGTTTTGTAATTCTTTGAATGAATTTTTCATTTCCAGAAGTTCTGTTTGATTTTTATTTAATATTTCAATGTCTTTAGTAAATTTTTCATTCATTTCCTGCACTGTTTTTATGGTTTCTTTGTGTTAGGTTTCTATTTTATCTTGTATTTCATTAAGCTTCCTTACAATCCGTGTTCAAAATTCTTCATCTGTCATTTCAATATTCTGCTTTTGGCTGGTATCCATTGCTAGGGAGCTGATGTTTCCTTTTGAGGGTGACCTTTTGCTCTGATTCTTCATACTTCCAGAGTTCTTTCAGTGGTTCCTTTCCATCTGGAGCAGCTGTTGCTTCTCACTTTTGGATTTTCTTTTGTTTAGATAATGACATGCCCAGTTTAATCTCTGAGACAAGAGGTGGTGCTTTTGTGTGAGAATCAACCACACCCTCTATGATTGAGTCAGTAAATGCTATAACGGGCATGCAAATTGACCTCCCTGTCAGCAGGTGGTGTTTGCTGGAGGAAACACACTGCATTGTTGTTTGTGGGTCCTTTTACCAGCTCTAGTTCCTCTGGAGAAGCCCTCTAATGCCTCTGGTGGTGGGTGGGTTGGTTTCACTTTAAAGTCATACTCTCTGACATCAGTGGGTCCTTTGTGCTGCCCAACAATCCACTCAGTCTCTCTCTCTCTGAGGTGTCTACCTTCTGCTTTCTCCTGCAACATCCAGCAGGTGAGCTTGCCTGCCATGTCACGGGATGTGGACATGAATGTCATGAATATCTGCCTCCACACCCAGACCCAGTTTCTGCATGGTGCACTCCACCGTTATTTCTCTGGTCCTCAGGCTGCTTTGTCCTTGCCCCTCTCTGAGCCCACTCCCTCCACATGTACACCAATCTCTCTCCCCTCATTCATTCATTCATTCTCCCTTTCCTACTTCAGATCTTCAATATTGCCCTTGTTTCTAGATCTTTCTCATCAGCATACAAACATGCTGCTATTTCTCCCATCTTAAAATAGCTTTTTGACTGCCATGCATGCCTCTGGCTCTGCCTCATTCCTCTGCTCCTCTTTGGAGTTTGATTCCTCAGAAGAGTTTTATACATTCCCTTTCTCCAATTCCTCAATTCTCCTGCCCTGCTTTCTTGAACCTACTCCAGTGAGGCAAAGCCCCCCGCCCCCACGCCCACCTCTCCACCAAGCCCACTCTTGCCAGGGATACCTGAACTGCTAAATCCAGGGGTCGATTCTCAGTCTCTTTATTCCTTGCCCTATTATCGACATTTGCTGTAGCTGGTCATTTCCTTGAAATTCTTTTGTTTGTAGAATGTACACTGTACTGGTTTTCCTCCTACCTCACTGGCTGTTCTTTCCCAGTCATCTTTGTCACTCCTTTCCCATGTCCACAACCTCCACGTGCCAGAAGGCCTTGAGGCACAGTCCTTGGGCCTCTTCTTCGTCCACACTCATTCCCTGGTGACCTCATCTGGTCCTGTGGCTATTAAACCTGAGTGCATTGAAGTGACTTCCAGACCTATATTTCCAGCCCCAAGTGTTGCCTTGATCTCCACCTGAGGTCTCTGCCTTGATCTCCACTTACCATGTCACTTGGATGTCTAATAGGCGTCTCGGACCTAACACATCAGACACTCAATCTTAATCATCGCCCCTCCAAGCTGCTCTCCCACTATCTTCCTCCTAGCAATTTATTGCAACTCCATTCTTTCAACTCCCTGTGCTGAAGACCACAGAGTCATCCTGACTCCTCTCTTTTCTTTCATACTCACATCTGACTTCTCCTTAAATCCTGTCAATTCTGTCTTCAGAATGTACCTGTTATTCAGTACCTGCCCCCTTCTCACCTGGGCCATGCACCTAATGGACCTCCTGACTCCCTGATTCTGCCTGTGGTCCTCAGCTGTCTCTTCTCCACAGAGTACTCAGACCACCGTATACGCCATGCATTAGATATGTCATGGGTCTTGTTAAAGCCCTGAGAGGGTTCCTTTTTTACTCAGGGCAAAAGCCAGAGTCATTCCCATCAGTGGTCAGGTATTATAGTATCTGTTCTCAGCCCTCCGCCTCGTATTTCCTGCTTCATCTCACTCTCCCCTCTCTTACCCACTATCTTTTGGCTGTGCTGCCTTTCCGAAGTTTGACAACATGCCAGGCAAACTCTTAGCTCAGGGCTTTTGCACTTGCTGTGTCCTCTGACTTCCTCCAGACCTCCTTATGGCCACGCTCTTTGTTCCCTCAGGCTTTTGCTCATATTTCACTTCTGTGAGGCTTTCCCTGTTAGGGTTTAACTTGTCCCTGTCCCCTCACCTCTTCCTTACCACTCTCTATTCTCCTTTCTTCCTTATTTTTCTCCATAGTATTTGTCATTATCTGACCTATTATATCATGATTTGTTTATTATCTGGATCTTTTGTAATGTGAGCTCCATGAAGGCAGAAATTTTGGATTTAAGGTTGTATTCCTGGTGCCTAGAAGAGCTCTTGCCATGGAGGAGTGCTGGATGTATACTGCTGGAGGAATGATGGAAACAGACCTGAGTGCTCCCCTTAAGGGTGCCTTTGTCCTTGCACCAGTTCTCTATATCCAATAGAGGGCGCAAGATGTGGGCTGGGGTACTTGGCTACTTTGCTTCATTTGTAGCCAGAATAGCAAGGAAAAGAGATTTGGGGTGAGTCTCACCTCCTCCAGAATGGTCTCCCTGACCCTGCAGTCCACTGTGAGTTCTTTGTTTTTTGCCAGAACTTGCCCAGTCCTTACGGTCTCAACCCAGCACCAGGTACTGAGTATTTAATTCTCTGCATTCCTAATGTTCTCTCTCTCTTTGTGTGTGTATTGGGCGGGGGTGGTGTGGGTATGGGGGTCTCCCTGCTGGAATAATTAGCTTTTCTGGGGCACAAATATGCTCACACATGTCTTTCTTTTTTTTATTTCAAAATATTAAGGGGATACAAATGTTTTAGGTTACATGGATCATTTTTGTAATGCTTGAGTCTTGGCTGAAGGTGTGCCCATCACCCAGATAGTGTAATAGTACCCGTTAGGTAGGTCTATGCTCCTCCCCTTCTCCCTCCTCCCCCCTAGTTGATTTCCACTGAATTTTACTTACCTCTATGCACATGTGTGCTCATCGGTTGCTTCCACTTTAATAGTGAGTACCTATGATGTTTGTTTTCCAATTCTTAAGACACTTCACTTAGGAGCATGGTCTCCAGTTCCATCCAGATTGTTGCAAAAGGTATTAATCCATCTTTTTAATGAGTAGTGTACACATTTTATTAATCTACTCATGAATTGATGGGCACTTGGGTTGATTCTACGTCTTTGCAATTGTGAATTGTGCTGCAATAAACATACGAGTGCAAGTGTATTTTGATGAAAAGTCTTCTTTTCCTTTGGGTAAATACCCAAGAGTGGGATTGCTGGATTGAATGGTAGGTCTACTTTTAGTTCTTTGAGGAATCTCCATGCCTACCACTGTTCATGATGTCTAGTGCCGGGGCTACATATGGAGGAAACCCCAGAACACATTTGGCTGAACTAATGATCAAATGACTCTCAGTGGGGGTGAGTGCTAAGAGCTGTGTAGTAAGGCAGAAGTAGAGGTGCCATCTGGAGACTTCTTCTTTGCATGGTTTCTAAGTGGTTTCTGTCCTTTGCCCTTTCCTTAGGAGACCAACAAGAAGACAGTCCATGCCAAATATTGCAGCAAATTTGTCCATGCTCTCTGGAAGGATGGGAGCTTGGTCCACGTCAACATCACCAAGGAGAAGTGCAAGTGGTACAGTGAGAGAATTCATGCAGTCCTGGCCCAGATCCAAAGGAGGTTGGTGTATTTGCAGGAGGGTACAAGTGGTATGGTCTCTTTTGAAATTCAAATCTACTTGATCTCTTTCTTTCTCTTCTTTACTTTTAGTTGACATGTAATAATTGTACTTATTTATGGGGTATAAAGTGATATTTTGATATGTGAGTATAATATATAATGATCAAATCAGGGTAATTATGAATAGTATATCCATCACCACAAACATTTATCATTTATTTGATAAATACTGTATGATTTAAGTTCTTATAAATGTATTGAGACCTATTTTGTAGCCTAGAATATGAAACAAAATCTGCTTTTGTTGGGTGGAGGGTACTATAAATATAATTAGCTCAAGTTGGTGATAGCATTGTTCAAGTCTTCCATATTATTACTTCTTTTCTCTTAAATTGTTCTATAAATTATTGAGAAAAGAACATTGATATCTCCAATTGTAGTTATCCCAACTGTAGCTTTCAGTTCCCCTTTCAGTTCTGTTTTTTCTTTGTATATTTTGATACTCTATTAATAGGTGCTTGTATGTTTAGAATTATTATATTCTCTTGATGAATGGACTCCTTTAAAATTATGAAATGTCCCTTTTATATTTGGTAATATCCCTTATTCTGAAATATACTTTGATATCAATTTAGCCACTCCAAGTTACTTTTGATTGTTGTCTACATGGTTTATATTTTTTCTATCTTTTTACCTCTACCTGTCTGTGTCCTATGTTTAAATGGGTTTCTTGTAGACAAAATACATGAGTGTTATTTTATTAATCCAACCAGACAATCTTTGCCTTTTAATTGTAGTGTTAAGATCACTTACATTTAATGTGATTATTGATTTGGTCAGATTTAAATCCAAGATCTTGCTATATATTTTCCTATTTGTCTTATCTGTTCTTTGTTCCCTTCTTGCTCTTTTTTTTTTTTTCTTTTGTTTGAGTATTTTTTGTGATTACATTCTATCTCCACTATTGTCTTGTTAACTCAACCTCTTTGGTTTGTTTTGTTTTGATGTATGTGTGACTATTTAGCATTTATAATATGCAACTTTAACTTATCACAGTCTACCTTCAAATAATATCACTTCATGTATATTATAAGGGTCTTACAACTTCCATTCTCCCTTCTGTCCTTTCTATTGTCCTACATTGTACTTCTACGCATGCTATAAACCCCACAATACATTAAAAGCAATCAATTTTCTTATAATAGATTAAAAATTAGAATAAAGGTATTTTATGTTTATTCACATACTTGATATTTCTATTTGTCTTTACTCCTTTGTATGGATTCAGATTTCCATTTGGTATCATTTTCTTTCTACCTGAGGAAATTCCATGAATATTTCTGGTAGCGCAGGCCTCTTGGTGATTCTTATCTGAAAAACTCCTTAATTTACCTTTATTTTGAAAAGATATTTTTGCTAAATATAGCAAAAATTCTAGTTTCACAGTTTTATCATTCAATACTTTAAAAATCCTTTTTCACTATCTTCTGGCTTCTATGATTTATGATTAGAAGGCTCTTGTCACTTTTTTGTTTGTTCCTCTACATGTGATGTCTCTGGCTGCTTTTAAGATTTTTCTGTTTATCACTGGATTTCATCAATTTTATTATGACATGCCTTGGTGTGGTTTTCTTCATTTTGTTTCTCTTTGGGTTCTTGGAGCTTCTTGGATCTCTAGATGTTTTAATCAAAATTAGAAACATTTCAGCCGTGTTTTTTTCAAATACCTTTGTCTCCCCCTTTCCTTTCCTTCTTAGACTCTAGTTACACTTATGTTAGACTTCTTGATATTATTTCATGGATTACTTATTCTCTGTTATGTGTTTTTGTCTTTTTTCTCTCTGTGTGTTTCATTTTGAATTGTTTCCTATTGCTTTGTCTTTTGTTCCCTGATCTCTTCTTCTCCTAATGTCTAATTTACTGTTAATACCATGGAGTGTATTTTTTATTTCAGAAACTATACCTCTCTAGAAGTCCCATTTGGATCTTTTTTTATATATTCCATTTCTCTCTTCATTCTGTTCATTCTTTACCTTCTTGAACATGTGGATTACATTTATAATAGCTGTGTAACATACTTTTCTGCTAGTTCTAGCATCTATGTCAGCTGTGTAACATCTTTTTCTGCTAGTTCTAGCATCTGTGTCATTTTTGAGTCTGTTTCTGTAGATCAGTTTCCCTTCTGGTTATAGATCATGCTTTCCTGCTTATTGCATGCCTGGTATTTTTTATTGGATGCCAGACATTTTGAATTTACGTTGTTGGGTACTGGATTTCATTGTATTTTTTAAAATTTATGTTCAATGGTGCAATTAAGTTACTTGAAATCAGTTTGATCTCTCTGGGACTTGCTTTTAAGTTATATTAGAATAGGTCCAAGGTAGCCTTTAGTCCAGAGATTATTTGGTGCTACTACTAAGGAAATATTCTTTTGAGGACTCTACTTGATGCCCCATGTATTAAAGAGGTTTTCCTACTCTGGCTGGTGGAAGGTGAACTATTCCCAGCTTGTGTAATCTCTGAGGGGTTGATCCCACCTAAGCCTTTTTGGTGATTTGTTCCTTGGCTTCAGTAGTTTCTTCATATGCATATCTTGATCATTATTTAGCCAAAATCTCAAGGGCACCCTTCTGAAGATCTCTGGAGCATGTTTTCTCTCTCTCCTTCTCTCTCTCTCTCTCTCTCTCATCTCACTTCCTTTTCAATATTCTGCCCTACAAATTTAAGTTGCCTAGACCTTGCTGAACTTTGAACTCAATTTTAAATATTTTTTCCATGGTCTTCCCTCACCTCTACCCAACAGGCTTTGTCTGCAGCCGTGAACTTCATTTACATCCTGTGATGGAAACCCGAGCATGGGCCACAGAAGCAGTCCTTCTCACACAGCCACCTTGGTTATTCCAGGGCTCTGGGGTGGCTTGATACTGTCCATAAGCTTCACTGAAGCTTCAGGAATGTGCTGCCTTTACTAGCTTAACTGTAGTCAGTGGGATTAGAAGAACAAAGGGTCTAAAGTCATAGCTGGAGTCCTCAAAATATCAAATGACTGGAAGTAATTTATATTTGACTTTGGCAGCCACACGGATTTATTTTTCTGCCATATTGATTATCTGAGTTCTGTTTTACTTGGATTGATGATGGGCAGTGCAAGGGGATGATAAGGGAACCAGCCTAAATGTAAGATTTCCTACAGAAAAATACTCAAAGTCAATAATCCACTCACAGAAGCCTGGGTATAAACAACATAGCACAGCTCTGGCCTCTGTAGTTGCCAGTTCTTAGGAATTGAGGAGCATGTGCTTGCTGCCCACTGGCTCTAACCATTCACTTTCAACCTATTTCCTGCCTAGGATTAAATGGCTACAGAATAGCAGTCAAATCCTCTTTGGAAAAGTGTATAACGATTACATCTACATCCTCATTGATACATCTCACTCAATGAAGAGCAAACTGGACTTGGTGAAGGACAAGATCATTCAGTTCATACAGGTTAATGGAAGGGTCACGTTCATGCATTTGGGGTGCTGTGCATCATAAACGCATCTCTACCGATCATCATCTGTAGTCGTTTATGAGCAGTGGATAGGGGAGTTTTGCACTAAAAAGTCCCTAAGAAAGCCAATTCAGAAAAAGGTCCTTTTTGCCAGTTAAAGAATCATCAGTTCTGATTTGCAAGCAGACCCTTTCTCTGGTGGGTTTTTTTCTGTCATGCTTGGGTTGCTTATGGGAGTTTCTATGCTCATTGTTTCAGATTTTCTCTATCTTGAAATTTGTGGTATATGCATATTAGTATGTATTGTTTTCCAGATTGTTTTCCAGATACTATTCCTCTTGGCATTTTTATTTTAATTTCAAATGTTTATTAGGGATACTGTGTGCACTGGCCCATGGGAGGAGTGTAGGCTGATGTTTAGGAGCTTCCAATTCTTATTCAACCTGTGCTGCCTCTAAGTTATATGGCCCGAAGCAGGTTGCTTTAAGTTTACTAACTCCTAGTTTCCATACCTATTAATACAAAAGGGTATCACAGTACTGTCATCAGTTTGTAGTATTGATGTAAGTATTAACTACAGAAATACTTGTATAAATTTTATTTAAATGCCTTTTGTACTGGAAAAGATTTTCCCTATGGGATATAATTTTTCACTTCTTGAACTGAAAATAGATATCTTAGTGACTAGAATTCATCAAACTGTGAGCTGTCCTAACCTTTTCTTACATGTGAGTGGTTTTATGGTTAAATAATAACTGTCTCTTACAGGAACAGCTGAAATATAAAAGTAAATTCAATTTTGTGAAGTTTGATGGTCAAGCAGTTGCTTGGCGAGAAAAACTTGCTGAAGTCAATGAAGATAATTTGGAACAGGCTCAGTCCTGGATTAGAGACATTAAGGTAAAATGGGCATTAAATATGGGAGAAGAAGTCTTGAGTTTCTCACCTGCATATTAAATTTATTCACAGGACAGAAATTCTTGAGAAGTGTTTTGTGCTCCCAGGATGTCAGTGGCTTCATGTAGACACTCGTCTTTACAAAGGTCCCATTAATTCAATCTCATTTATCAAATCCTCAAGTTTAAATAAGCCTCTATTCACAGGACTCTGTTTCGAGATCTGCCTTTGGCTCAGGTCTTAGCGCCTTTGTGAAAACACATTTCAAAATATGATTTTTTTTGTACTCAGACATTCAGATTTGTTTCTTCTGAAACTTTGTTATTCTTGCAAAAGATATGTTGCTGCTATTCTTAGCAGTGGACTTTCTTCAAGAGTAATGAACTTGTGGAAACATACAGCACAATCTGAGTGTTTGGGGCTGAAAACAAGAAGAGAGAGAGGGCAGGAGGGAATAGTAATACGGTGAAACTATTTCCTCAGGCCTGCATTTTACTTGGAGACCATTAAAGCTACTGTTCTTGGCATTTACACAGACTATGGGGAGGATTTTTCTTTCCTTGAATTTTTTCTTGTCTTGAACTTATCTTAATTTTATTAATAGAAGTTCCCCAGAACCATATAGCAGTCCTAATATTTGAGATGCACTAAAAATGTATACACAAGGAGTGCAATGCGCACTACCCGAAGGATGGACATATTTGAAACACGGACTTCGGTGGGGGGGGAACCAAGGGCAACACACATAACCTAAACATCTGTACACCCATAATTTGCTGAAATAAAAAAAAAAATTGAGACTAAAGGCTGTTCTTTAAAAGTCAAATATAGATCACAAACATCTTTAAAATAGTTCAGTGCTTGAGTTTAGAGCTTAGATTTGACAGGAAGCCACAAATGGACATTAGCACATCTCTCTGAATGTTACCAAAGCATGGCCTATGCTGTCAGTGATCTGCACCAGGGTTCCCTTGGGATTTATTTTTCAAAATGGAAGGAGGAAATCTGTTCTATAAGGAATAATAATGCTTGTAAGATTTTCACCTTACTGGCCACCTTATCCTGGGAAAGAGTATTAAATTCATACCCAACTTGTTAAATTTCCAGGATTAACCAATGAAGTTATTTGTGACATATATTCTCTTCTTTCACAAACTTAGGTAATAGGAAATATCTTGTTATTAATAATTCAGAACTCACTTATTAATAATTCAGAGCTCACCTAATTCAGGGCTTAGGATTTGTAATAACAAGTTATTATATATGGAATCTCACTGGATAAAAACATCAATTGGTTCTACTTTACATAAAAATCACTAATGAATAGAGTCAGCCATATATTTAGATTTTAGCCATTTGGCTAAAATAAAACATAAATCATTCTTGTGAAGCATGATTCTGCTGTCTTTAAAAATCTTCACTGATGCTCCTTTGCTTGATGAATGTCCAAAATTCATTTGCAAGAAAACCAAGGATAAAGAAAACGTGGTATTATATACACAATGGAATACACATAGCCTTTAAAAAGAAGGAAATCCTGTCATTTGCAACAACATGGATGAACCTGGAGGACAGTATGTTAAGTTAAATAAGCCAGACACAGAGAGAAAAATACTGCATGATCTCATTTGTATGTGGAATCTAAAAAAAGTCAAACTCTTAGAAGCAGATAATAGAATGGTGGTTACTGGGGTAGAGGGAAGGGGCAAGGTGTGGCTGGGGACATGTTGGTAAGAGGGAACAAAGTTTTAGTTGGATAGAAGGTATAAGTTCTGGAGATCTATTGCACAGCATGGTGACTATAGTTAATAACAGTGCATTGTACACTTAAAAATTGCTAAGAGAGCAGTAAGTGTTCTCATCACACACACCAAAAAAGTGTGTGAAGTGATGGATATGTTAATTAGCTTGATTTAATCATTCCACAATGTATACATACATCAAAACATCACATTGTACTCATCAATATTAATATATACAATTGTTTTTCCATTAAAAATTAATCAATTAAAATAACAGTGAAGGCCAAATTCTATTATTCTTTTGGCTGATTTGGTCCAGTAATCAACCTGGCAACACTCATGGTCTTCTGAGCCTGCTGTGTGCTGGTATCACAACCAGGTGCCACCTCCTAACCACCTTGCCTAGGGTTCTGTCCATCTGGCGTTCTCCCAGCTTTGCCACCACCTCTTTTCAACAGTGGGCTTGTCAACAAAAGACTATTGAAATTGGGCTCAAAGGGAAAAGTTGCTCTGTTTACCTTCTAAGCTACAATTCTGCTACCTGAATCTTGCAGGAGGGTTTTGCTTTGTTTTTAACTTTTAAATTTTAAATAATTTTAGACTTACAGAAGAGTTGCAAAAATGTTACAGAGAGTTTCCATTTATCCTTCACCTAACTTCCTCTAATGTTCACATCTGACATAGCCATGATATCATTATCAAAACTAAGAAACTCCCATTGATACTATTAACTAAATTACAGACTTTATTCAGATTTCATCAGTTTTTCCCATAATGTCCCTTTTATGTCCAAGATCTAATCCAGGATCTCACATGACATTTAGTTACAGCACCTCTTTATTCTCTTCCAATGTATGACACCTTCTTGGTCTTTCCTTGTCTTCCATGACCTTGACACTTTTGAAGGATACTGGTCAGATATTTTGTAGAATGTCCTTTAGTTTGATTTTGTCTGATGTTTTCTCACGGCTACACTGGGGTTATGGATTGGGGAAAGAATAACACAGGGGTGATATGCTCGTCCCAGTACATCATGTCAAGGCACACATCATGTGGATAAGCCCTATTATCAGTGATGTTAACTCTGACCATTTGGTTAGGGTGGCATCTGTACTTTGTATATCATAAATGTTTTGGGGAGGATACTTTGAGGCTATGAAAATATCCTTTGTTCCTTAAACTTTTGCCCACTAATCTTAGCATTCAATGGTGGATCTTACCTACAATAATTATGACTGAGCTAATGGTGATATTCTATTTCCTTCATTCCTTTTACATTTATTTGTTGGAATTCCTCTATAAAGAAGAGTTTCCCTTTTCTCCTCTTTTGGACTCAGGGCTATTTATTTTACTCTTGGAGTTATAACCCAATACTATTGTTATTTATTTTGTTATTAAAATTATTCCCACTTTAGCTGTTGGGAACTCTTTCAGGTTGCCTCTTGTGTCCTTTAAACATGCATCCATCTTTTTTTTCCTCCTTTTAGCACTTCCTGACTTTCTGGCAGTACAAGATGTTTCATCCTTTATTTTCCCAGCCCAGCCCTGGAATCTACTACTTCTCCAGGGAACCTTGGTTTATTTTATTAGAAAATGGTATTTATAAACCAAGATTTGGGCACCTGTGTTTGCTTATTACTGCTGGATTATGTCACTGCTTCTAGGCCTTCTCAGTGGAGAGAGAAAAAAAATATATATATACAATAGACCATGTATCCATAAACATCCATATTTCTATATCTGTCTGTCTGTATTTATGTTAAATAAACAAACAAGCCATGCATTCATACTGATACCTCTGGCTCCCATCCAGAGCCACAAGGTTCATTTGTAACGAACCTATGTGCCTATTTGTAACTTCATCAACCACGAGAAACCTGATTTTTATTATATGTGATGTATTTACTTATATATTCAACCCTAGTGTACATATAAAGTAGTTTCAGAATTGCTAACTCATACTCTACGAGAAACAAATTTTTCAACTATAGTGTTTATGTACAGTTCTTTTTCTCTTTAGCCTTACAGTATCCAGTCAAAAAACTGTTTTCCAAAGTTTTAAGTCAGGTACTTTCTTACCAATACCTTCATTCAACAAATGGTGGTGTCATTTGTTAGTGATACAGTTAGATTCATTGGACGCAGTCTGCATTCCATCTGGAAATTACCCCTTATCCTAGTTGAATCTTATTTTAATTTTCACACAGTAAAAAGAACTCTTTTGGTTTATATTTCCGAATTTTGACAAATGCATGTATCTCCACCAAAGTACCAGAGAGAATAGTTCTGTCACTCCCAAAATTTCCTCATATGCCCTTTTGCAGTCAACTCCTCCTTTCTCCTGGAAACCACTGATCTGTGTCTCTGTCCCTATGATTTTTCCTTTTCCAGAATGTCATATAAACAAATCGTACAATAGAACCTTTTGGTTCTAGCTTCTTTCACTTACCAAAATGCACTTGAGATTCATGCAACTTGTTTCATGTGAATTAAGAGTTTTTTCCTTTTTATTGATGAGTAGTGTCTTATTGATGAGTATCGATGCAAAACTGTTTATCCATTCCCTGTTGAAGGACATCTGTGTTATTTCTCATTTGGGGCATTATAAATAATGCCACTGTAAATATTTGCATACAGGTTTTCATGTAACTATGTGTCTAGAACTGTGAAGGGTCTGATATTTTATTTTACTTGCAAACTAATGTAGATGCTGACAGAACACCCGAGACTCCTGGGTCACTGACAAAGGACTTTATTACTCACAGCAATAGCAGTAGTCAGAGTATCAGTGTTTTCTTGCACCAGTTCCTGAACCCTGGTTCCTGCACAGTGAAACAATGAGGACCAGGTGGCACTTGCACATACATTAGGTTGTGTTAAAGGAGAGGGACCCTGAACTTAGGAAAACCAAATCTCCTATAATGGGCTATAAGCATGCTGGTCCTTTGCTGTGGAGTCAGATATTATCTTTATTCCAGACAATAAGTATGCTTGCTGCTTGCTTTGAAAAGGGACATTATTTCTGTTTCCCAAGGCTGTTCCTTATATAAACATCTTTAAAAGATAGACCAGAACAGATAATGTCTCTGCTTACAAGATATGTATTTAGTAGAAATGCAAGAGACCCATGGAGAATGGTTTCCAACAATAAATTTTCATTTCACTTGGATATAAATAAATACCTAAAAGTAAGTTTTCTGGCTAGTATGCTAAGTATATGCTTAACTTTATAAAAGACTGCCAAACTGTTTTCCAAAGTGG